TTTTTTTTTTTTTTTTTTTTTTGCATCAAGTGTTAGGTTAGAAGTGCATTTGGTGTGTAGGAGTGGAAGGACTGGAGGTTGTGATTATGTTTTCCATGTGTTGATTTCCAAACTGGGGGAAAAGCTACTGTGAGTGTTTAAACAAACAAACAAAAAATTACACTATAACAAAAGTGATTTTTAATTTTTTTCCAATGTCAGTTTTTATCTTGCATGTACTGGAGTATTTATTTCATCTATTAAAACGTTATGTTTCTCAGATGTCTTTCCGTGAATCTCTTAATACTTGAATAATTGAACAAGGCGGCCTGTTTGCATTGTATGTCATTTTCCCCAGGGAATGGGTGGTACAAATGTAACTGTAGTGCTAGACAGCAGCTCAGAGCCTTGAATTCACTTCTTGTATTTTCATAGTCTCCCTCCCCCTTAAGACTCCTCTGTTAGAGTTACCCTTTTAAATTGTGTTTATGGAAAGGCAGTGCTGGATGCACGGGGATTACTCCACGTGCACAGCGCTGGCAGTGCTTGCAGCGCAGCAGGGGCTGCTTTTCTCTGTGTTTATCAGCATTTTGGTAATGTGTGAGGTCGGCGTGTGCTAATTCTTTAGATGTTGTGGGCAATCTGTGTTAAACGTGTGAAGTTTCGTGTTATTAAGTGCCTCTTGAAAAGGTGTGTCCTGCTGGACAGCCCTGCTTGCACTGTGTGTCAGCAGGGGCGTGTGGAGGTTTGGAGGCCTGTCCCTCAGGTTCCTCACGGGTTTCTGTTGGAGATTCTCAGTGCAGATTTCAGAGCAAGTCTGAGGTTGCAGATAGTGTGAAAAGTTCGTCAACTCTGAGGCCCAGTCCAACTCCAGCCGAGTTCCTTGAAAGCTGCGAGTGGGTATTAGGGTGTGCTTTAGGGCGTGCTGCAATATTTCCCATGATTTCAGTGTCTTTCAGTGTATGCCTTGTGGACCCATGGGGAGGGTYTGTGGACCTTTAAATGTTCCATGAAAGGCAAATAAGAAAGGCAAGTCCTCTGGCCAGGAGGCTCTGTTCATACGCACAGATCTGTTCTGTATCTGATTTCTTAGTGAGTCTGCAGATCAAACAGTGCTGGAAGCTATGCTTGAAAAATGGTGATACCCGTGACTTAAACCTTTGCTGTACAAGTGCTATACTSTTCTTTTTGTTTGAAAATAAACTTTGTTCCTGTTCTAAGAGATAGAACTGACCTGGAGGAGCAGAGGTCCTTTTATAGCAGAATTGTTTCTCTTGCCTGTGATGCTTTTACTTTGTTTCAAACATGAGGAAAACATAACCATAGTGGACTATGGACTAATATACCATTTCAAAGGAGATATAAGCTAAGCTTATATATCTGCATCTTTGGGGATATATATTTTTCCTTTGATTCAAATGCAGTGGAATATTAGAGTTTGTTTACCTTTAAATAAAACTTTTCAGACTTCAGGGAAACGTACGATTAGAATTTTCTCTGTATGAAGAATCAGCCCCAGCTTGCCTCACGTGGGTGTTTTTTCCCTGCTTGTCTCTGATGCAGTATAATCCCACCACATACACTACAGAAGCGCAGACGGGTGCAGCTGTACAGCTATTATATAAAAACTTTCTCGACTTTTTTGTGTATGTGTATGTTTTTGTATACAGCATAATGTTCTAACTTGGATTTAAGTAATGCTGTTTGCGGACATACCTCCTGCAGGCCACGTCCACAGSTATCTCCCAGTGAGTGGCACGCATGTTGCCCACATGCTTTCCCGGCTGGATGGCAGGCAGTGTGGCAGGACTCCAGAGGCACTCGTAGGAGACCAGGGCCACTTCCARGGTGGTCCTGGACCTCTGCAGCACTCCCCGTGTCTGCTCCACTGTCCTTGTAGTCTCCCTCCTGTCCCAGGCTGCCCTTCCTCCTCTTCCGCGGTTGCCCTGAAGGAGAGAGGCCAGGAGCAAACGTTGCTCGCAGGATGCACTATCGGCTGCGGCCAGGAGAGGAGGAACCGGCTCCACCCTTCCCGTGCACAGATCCTAGCTGGAGAGCAAAGCTGTGCGCGGGCCGGGCAGGCTGCAGCGCTGCTCAGCGCGGGCAGGACGGGGTGGCACCGGGCAGCTCCGGCCACCTCTGCTCCTGGTGGCACCGGGCAGCTCCGGCCACCTCCGCTCCTGGTGACCCACATTTGGGAGGGCGGCTTCCAGGCAGAGCCAGAGGCTGCTGCAGGGCCGGCCTGCAGTGCGTCTCAGAAAAAGGGAACATCCCACTGCCTCTTTTGATGTTTCTGTTTAATAATTTTTGGCACTGCTGAACTAATTAGATTCTTTTTGATGCACTTATACATTATTTATGAGTCTATATGCATCGTAGTGTAGCCTTCTTATTACCTCTGCATATGAAAGGCAATATATTATTAATGGYGATAGCACCAATTTTTGTTGTGGTAAGATTTTAAGTGGTTTAGTACAATTTTTGTTCTAACAGAATATTGCAGATTCCTCCCCCCACTTCTGATTATATTTTGAAGTGCATATATGTATTAATATATTTATTTGTATATTTTTAAACACAGAATCAATCCAAACTGCTCCAGATCTCATTTTCCTCTCCAGCTGTGTATTTGGGGGTGGGGGCAGTGTGTGTGGGGCATCTGTTCAGTATAATAGATTAAAGCATCTGAAATAGAAATAGAGCCAGGTCATGATTTTAGTTAGCAGGATGCTAAAAAAATACATATGTTTAGTACATTTACCAAAACGTTAGTGTAACGTTTTTAAAATAATAATAATTTGAACCCTTCAAAGTGTTCAGTYGTTTCTTTCCAGAGCAGAACTCCCACTGATGACAAAGGGAGCCTCTGGACTCAGCTCAGAGAGTAGCTGTCAGAATGTGTCATATTCATATAATTAACATAGCAAAGTTCAAAGAAAGGCTTTTTGTACAAACTCATACAAACAACTGTTTTTATGCACTGTGAGTAAATGTTTAACAGGAAAAAAAAAATCTATATATACACACACATTGGGGTGTCTGCCCAGCTGAAAATGCATTCAACTACAAAGCATGAACATGCATATATTTTAAATGACGTAGTCTTATATTTATAAGGATTTAATGTATTTTGTGATAATTGCTTTGAAAGGTACTTCTACAGAATATTAATGCTGATACAAGGGATCGTTTCAGTACGTATAATCATACTGTTGATGTTCCTTGTGTTTTCTGGGGCAAAAAAAATAAATAATGGACTTGTTTCAGGGTGCAATTCCAGGCCACAGAGAGGTCACCCATTCACCAGGCTTCGTACCTGGTTGCCCAAGTGCTTGCACCATTTATGTAGTGTCACTATTTCAGCACGGGATTAGACAGACATTGGACACATTTCTGAACTGAAACCTTGGTGATTTTGACAAAATGAAACTATTTCAGGCTSTTTGCATCACATATGTAATAGAACTGCTCTAAAGAATAGTATAACCCTTTAATAAAAGGGTTAACTCATTTCTAAATACATGATGCAATGCACACTTGTAGCCAAAAATAACACTATCCCCACCAAGAGAAAATTAAGCTTATTTTTTAAATCTAAGATTTTTTAAATAGGGAAGAGGTTCATGCTTTTGTATTGTCTGTGGATTTTATGTTACCTTTTGGTTATTTCTCCATCACAATGAAGTTCCTTCTTGATTTAATCCAGCAGCTGAATTTCCAAATTTAGGATCAGAGCAACATGTTTTTTGGTTCTAAAAAATAAGTTAAAAGCTTTGTAAGAGAACCAATAAACTAGTGGCAAAATGCTGTTGAGAAGCAAGTTATTTAAGGCAACTCGCAAATGTAAATCCTTGTTATTTTTCAAAACTAAGAAGAAAAGACTATGGGTCAGATAATTCCCTTCACTTTTTACCACAGGAAATGATCAAAGTAGCAGAAAATCTGCTCTTTTTGGCCAAACTTCTGTCAGAGGCAGAAGGGGTCGAGCCAACACATGGTGTAYGCAGCCGTACAGCAAGAGGGGATGTGGCTCATGGGAAAGGAGGTGGAACCAGAGCAAATCTGTAGGGTAACACATCCGATTAAACCCACAGGAATCTTCCTATTCTAGATAATACGGGGACTGATCCAATAGAGCAAATCTTAAACAACACAACCTTCCTTTTCTGCAGTCTGACCCTTGTGAATGAAGGTGTGGGTCTGGGTGCGTTTGGATGCTCTGCAGCAAGCGGCTGTATCACCATGAGTGACCAAGGCCTCTGAGGCCCAACATCTCAGAAACGTTCAGACAAAAACACCTACCTGCCACAACAGCTTGATAGGAAGGGAAGCCTTTTCTGTCAGGCACTTTCTAGATTTTACAAGCAGAAGCAGATGGTAGGGACCAGTACATTTTACTCTATTTCTTTGTTCTTGCTGCCTGTGAAAAGCACCAGATGGGCAATGATAAAGATAGAAATTCTCTTCCTGTAGCCCAAGATAGCAAAAGGGCAGAGTTTCCAGGCTGCTCTATCCTCTCAGGATCACTGCAGCATGGTTTGGGGGCCCACTAGTTTCACACTTCTGGCTCTCTGCCAGAAACAGATAGAGAATCCCCATGGCAACTTGCATTTCTGTCCACTGAAMGTGGCACAAGGACCATTAAAATACTTCCTGTAGGATGGCAAAGCACCACCTGATTTGTGTCATTCAAAAACTGAGCAAAGTATATACTAGCTAGCTATGAAGTGACATGCCAGTCCCTTCATATCTGAATAACCTAGAACATTAAAACATTAATGAAATTTTTGTATGAAGAATCATTCAGAAATACTAGCATAAAATTAGCATCATAGTTAAGAAGCATTTCCTTAAAAAGATGGGCTATATGGACAGGAAGGGCCTATCCATGACTTGTTAAAGTATATATTAATAATATTAATAACAAATATTGTCACAAACGATGATCAAGTATCAAGAGTCTTTTTGTATTGCAAAGGAAGGAATGATATGGTAATTTTCATGAATATGAATGTGCTCCTAGAACTAGTTTGATTGTGTTAATGTCCTTTGAATCTCCTCTTTTTTTTTTTTTTTTAAATCACACAGTATATGGTGCTATAATTTGACAAAGTCAAAAGTGGCATTTCAACATTAATGTAGAGATTCCTGGAGTCTTTTGTCAGTTTGCCAGACTCTCTTTCCAGTTCTAACTTAATTTTTTATAATTTCCTTTTATGTTAATAAAAGCTTGTGGCTGTTGTCTTACTCTATAGAAAGCCTGGTTCTTATGTAGATTCCATTTAGATTATTTAGAAATCCTGCTGGTTGCCAGATGGAGCTCTTCTGGGTTTTATGTTAAATACTTGGAAAGCTAAATAGCTTAATTTTTCTCTYCTGTCTGCCTTCCTCCCCCAACAAAATAAATAAATACTTGAAAAGTGATTAGTAACAAGTTGCTTAACTTCAGTTTTCACATCAAATTAGTTGGAGATGATGAGAGTGCATGTATGGAATGGCCCAAAGAAGCTGGGCTTTGGCAGGGCTTGACTTGCCACCAATGGTCTGTATTGATAGCTGTCTTCCAGGTTTGTCTGGGCAACAGCAAATTGAGTGTAAGGACAGAGAATCCTGCAAAGCAGAGGAGGTGGCTCTGAACCCCACAGTAGCATTTCTTACTGGCCTTGAGATAGAAACCCCAAGATAGTCTTAGACTGCAGTAGCTGTTAGGATTGTTGGAAATAACTCACAGAGTGATTCCGTGGTGTGCTGGGCTGCTCCGAGCAGCTCCTGTCCTGCCCTGGTTCAATCAGCCTCTGCACCATGGACAGTATCGGCACTAGCTCCCGCGTCTCTCACCCCGCTACCCAGCAGGTTTAGGCAGAGGAAGCAAGGAGAGGCTTGAGGTTCCACCATGGAGCCTGGAGGCTGTTTGCAAATCACTGGATCCCCTGGCATGAGGAGCCCATACGGATGCTTGGACAGCCGTCTGACAGGGGCAGGTGAGAGGGTGGCCTCAAGTTGCTTTTATTCCTTACCCTTCAGGGCACTTTGTTCTTCAGCCTGCTTGGCCAGTCCAGCTCCCAGCACCTCCACTCATGCACAGAGCAGCAGGAGCCGAACCAGGCCAGGTCTGGATGACCTTTGCCTGGATTTTAGMAGGCACAAGGCTTCGTTTGGTGAAATTCAGGCATGCTAAAGAGGCTAGGAATGCTTCTCAAAAGAGCAGGACCTGCTGCATCCTGTGGATTTAGTGCTTATGAACCAAAGGACCTTCTGCTGTATTCTCGGTGTGTACAAGGTGTTTCTCCAGCACAGGCAGAAAGTGCTTGGAAACCTGGGAGCTAGGTGCTATTAAACACAATTCTGTTGTTGTTAATTATCTCACAGGTTTAAAGCAGTAATTTTAGTTTCCAGGGTGATGTTTCTAAAGCACAGACTAAAAAAAAATGCTATTTTCCAGTCATTCTTTTCAGGGCATATTGATTCTGACTGACTCATGTTATATACAAGAAGTGTCTTCAATCTGTAGGCCTGCTATTCAAGTATATTTTGGCCCCTGTTTGGCCCCTGTCCTATTCTGGACATTCACACTGTRGAAAAAAGAGAGAAAAGTCAGGCAAATTGATCTGTGCAGTGCAATAARTTACAGGCCCCATGGCACTTGTGAATTGTTGTGTAGTTAATGCCAATAGCCTTATTTAAATGTTTCAAATTTAATCTATGTCCTAATCCTCTTTAAAAAATTGCTATGGAATCAATCTGTTCTGGCAATGTTAGATTCATATTTCAAAAACTTTCACCCCTTTTTACAGTCTTAAAGTAGCCATTAGTCTGAGAGCTTTCAATCTTTCAGTCTGGCTATAAAAAAGAGGAAAGTGAGCCTTATATTTTAGTTCTAATATTTTCTCAAGTTTTAAAGCTAATTGGTTGGCCTATTTTTTAATTGCTGAACATGGAAAAACAGTGGGTGTATTCTTTTTCATGTGCAAGTGAGCTATTGTTTCTCTGTTCATAATTWAAAAACTTACTCTTTTGAAAAATTGTGATTCGTCCCAGGCATTGCTAGCAAATCTGTGAACAAAACTTTGAAATTTCAATCTTGTCTACTCTTGTGACTGTCATGTTAGAGTAGCTTGTCCCAACAGCCTGTACATGGAGATTGGTGCTGCTGAGCAGGCTTGAAGTGCAGTTGTTGAAGTGTGGGGTACAGGCTCCAGACAGGCACGTGCTATCTTTAACACTTGAGAGATGCACACCGTTGGTTAGGCACTGCAGGTTGTAATGCTCATGAACAGTTAGTTGCAGTGAGATGCAGGTCTGAAAAAAAGCACAAGCAAGAGAGAGTTTCATTATTTCTGAGTGTTATTTGTAACTATTAAGGACGGGAAAAAAATTTGGTCAGATCCTGAAGTGTATTTGGGGGCTTAACTGCTATTGATTTTAATGAGAACTGGATGTCTTCCTGTTTCACGGATGTAGACATTAGTGATAAAGCGTGAYGGCATGTGTTTTTTAAATTAATCGTAGAATATTGTAGTAGTTATTCTTAAAACTCTATAATATAAATGAGGAATATGTAGCTGAAGTATGAGCACGTGCTCTAATTTTGTTCCTACCATCCTGACCTTTCTGTGTGGGTTAAAAGCTCTTGTTATCCTTGCACACGCCCTGGCTGGCAAACAGCCAGGGCCCCAACTCTCCCCCATTTGCCTCTTATGGTTGCCAGATGCCAGCATCTCGCATCTTACCTTCAAATCAGAATCACAGATTTCACCTCCCTTCCTCCACCCTCTGCTCCTGGTACAACACCCAGATGGGGAACAGAGATCTCTTTGTGCTCTGTGTATGTTATCCTCATACAGGCCATGGACTTGAAGATAATTCATGCAAATTGCAGTCCAGATCACATTAGAAACATACCTGTTCTCTCTATATGCAAATTCCAAATACCGCAATACCACATACATCCTTTCAAAATACRTACTGGAGAGCTGACTGCAATCCATATTCCCTGGAATTGTGCCTCACACACAGTTTGTCAAAGAGCTGTAATGCTGCTCTGAAGAAATGGAAATCTGACTGCAGGTATTTACGAGGTGTGCTTTAGCTGGGGGTAGTAGCGTGAGTGGGATACCATGAGATGTGGGTTAGTGGCTAACTTAAGGTTGTTTTAACAACTTTGAGTGCTGATTTCCCAACAGAGCATCATTTAGGAATCGTGTGGCATGTTCTCCCTCTCTTTCTCTTCGGATTGCACTAAACTGTAGTGCAAACGTTTTTCAGATTGGAGATTCTGAGAATTTGTGTACTGAATTAATTTGCAAGTTGGAGTTCAGTAACAGAGATCTGAATTTACAGTGCACTGTAAAATCTATTTATTGCTGAACCTTCTATAAGTTTTCTATATTGGGCCCAGAAGCTTCTTGTAAAACTCTTACATTAGTGGTGACTCTTATCTCCTGCCCAGTTCATCTTGCTGCAGGATTTTTACCAAAATTGCCTTCATTTACTCTTCAGCTGGAAAAGCAAACAAAACCCTATGTGGTAGTTTTATCCAATTCCCTGTCTCTTACAGACAGTTTCAAGATAATTAGATGAAAATCACTTTCTTTGAAAACTGAGTTTACTCCTAAATTTTAAAATCACAGTCTGAAACTTGTGAGGGWTTTTTTTGTTTGTTTGTTTGTGGGTTTTGGTTTTGTATGTGATTAACAATACATCTGTTCTCTTTGGCAGAACAGAAGAAAAGGCACACTAGACTAAAGCTTCTCTGTCTTGGTACATAAGATAACAAAAGGCCAAATGTTCTTTTTTGGTTCACTTCCGTGATTGTACTGTAGTACACAAAAATGCCTGGTRCTTTAATATGCCTATTTTGGACACTGAGTGTCCTTCTGATTACAGGCTCAGCACTTTGCAGTCACTCATATATAAAAAATATGTGTTGAAGTACCCTATTAATGCCTTACAATATTCCTTATTAAGTTGAGTTTTGTTTAGAATAAGAAATCTCAAATCAGAATGATGTGGCAATTCTTTATAAGATCCCACTCATTTGGCAAAGAAATTGCTTTAATTACATCTTGTTTTTTGTACTATGTCATTTCAGAAAAGAGAGCACATGTTGCACTTGTAAGGAGATGAAATAATTCACTCATATCTTTGAGGCCTTTTTCTATGTTTTTCTCTTTCCTTTGAAAATAACAGTAGGCTGTAGAAACCTCTYCCTGGGAGGATAAGTACGTTTTGCAAATCCAGGATGGTGCTCAGAAGTTTATTGAGGAAAGCAGACATCTAAAAACTAGTAAATCTATCTGATAAAAACCTGACTGAAAAAAAAAAAGACTTTTTCAAAGCTTTGCCTAGAAGTATTATTTTAGCCATATTCTATTCTTAGGTTTATTTAGCTTAACTGTTAGACATTCTCTTCCCTTGGAAGTCTTATAAGAAGGATTAGTTTTACTTACAGGCGATGAATATGCATCAGTCGCTGCCCAGTGTTGGATCCTTTCTAAGGCTGTGGGCCCTGATCTGAGAGATGTTGCTTATCCCTCCTTGCAAAAATGCACTTCACTGATCTGGAGTTCACGTGACCGTACTGTGGAGGAAGCACTGATGTCTTGGGCAAGTCACTCCTGTCCAGAGAATAAAGCATAAAGAACATTTATAGCTAGTCTACAGGAGAAGAGGAGAATTATTTTGATGGCATTTTCTCTGAAGTACCCCTCCTTTTCCTTTTTTTTTTTTTTTTTTTGTTAGGATATTAGTTTAAATTGAAATGAGACTGCTTAAAGAATTACAAAAATTTTGGTCATCTAAGTGATGCCTCAAACTTTTTCTCCATGTTTTGTTTCTGTTCATAGTATCTTAAAGCTTAAATGTATTTCTATATCAAAAATAGTAGGGTTTTTAATCAGTAAGAAGCAAGCACAAGTGAAAGCCTCTTATTTTCCTGCAGAAGTAGGCTGCAAAACAATCAATATCCCTTTTGCTTGTTAGATGCTGTGTAACTAATTTATTTCACTGCTCCTTACACTCTAAAATACCTTTTAACAGTCAATTTGCAGTGACATCCTACATTTTTATTTTAGAAAAGCTCTCAGCTTGTTTATATGCTTCAGTCAAATCTATTTTATATGAATTCTTCCTCAAAACTAAATAATCCTGATGAGTAACTGAGTGCAATGATACTAAGTTAATTTCTAGATGAAAATCTCAAGCTTTGCATAGGTCAGGTGGTTGATAAGTTCAACCTAGTAATTTTAGAGGCATYTGTGAAGCAACTTTGAAGACTCCTGTAAGCCTGAAGCAAATTATTCTCAAACTATTTAACTTTATCACCATTCCAAGAGTACAGAGTTATCTCTTCCAGACCAGGTTATTGCGAAAACAATGCTAGTTAGATCTAGTTTGCAGGGTTACTCCTACCTGCAGATATTAAATTGAAATACACAGGGTTAGCATTTGTGCTTTTTTTTTTTTTTGGTGGAATAAAACCAAAAACCCCACATATTTTTTTGACTTCAGATGTTCAAGGGAAAATTACTACTGTTCAGAAGACAAAGTCTCCTGGAAAAACTACCTGAAACCTTTTGCTTATAGACAGGGACCTACATGGAAATATATCCAATGATTAGGTGAATGTTTGTTCTTGTCATGTCTTGCCAGGGATTTAGCATCTCCACATGTTAARAGAAGAACACAAAAATTTGTTTCATTACAAAGTTTAGTTCTCAAGAAATGACAAGGCTCTATCAGAGCTGGCTTGGATTGATCTGATAAGCAGGGAGATGCAGCTCACACAAAATTAAGGGACTTGCAGAGCACTGAGTCACAGTACCTAGTAAGGCCACTGGGGCCAAATCCCTATTTCAGGTAATTCCTTAGCAGAATGAAAGCTTTGTTGCTTACCCAAAGCTGTTAYATATCTTCACCTTTCCGTGGGTAAAGGGCTAAGGCTTGTCTAAAAACAGCAGTAAAGAACTGCAGGCTTTGCCATGGGGCACACGGCCCCAGGCATCACTCACTTCCCTGCTCCTGTGCAGTGCTGTGCAGTCCTGCCTGGTGATGCTTTCCTCCTCTCCTGCTTTCTGCATTCGCACTCAGCTATTCAGCAGCATCAGATGCGGAGCCATCCTCACCTCTGTTTGTTTCTCCTCAAGTGCTTCCAA